ATTTTTATTTTTATTTTTTTTTCCATGTGTATAGGGGTAACACATCGTACTAAACATGTAAGGTCATATCTACGTGGGTTTGATTACAGAAACTAATAAAGTATTCTCTAAATAATGAAAAAAAGAATAAAATAAGACTATAAGAGCAAGAAGCAATTTAAATATGTTCGGGGACCATTTTTATCTCCAGAATTAAGGATTGTTTTAATGTTACATCATTGCCTTTTCTCTTTTACTTTCTTTTTTAGTTTTATTTTGGGATTCCCTATTTTTCATGTTCATACGGAGATTTCTTTGACTGAAATACCGAATAGTTTCTTTGGTGTGAGGAACTCTACTAGTGCACAGGATCCTAATGAGATGATTAATGATGTGAAATAGGAAGTAGGGGGCTAAAGGTGTAGGGAAAGTGGGAAGGGTGGGGGAAAGGTAATAAGGGAAGGAAAAAAATATGAGAAACTGAAAAAATGGAAATAAAGTGTGTGTTAATGGGGAGGGGAGGAAGGGCTGAAGGGAGGGCAGGGACAAGGGGAAAAAATGAGAATCAAGACCTATTCTGTAAAGGTACAGAATCCCAATGATGAATGTAACTGTATTGTATACCTAGACTGTACCAATAAACTCAATTAAAAAAAATACTTGGTTTGCTTTTATATTAATTACAGGTCTCTTTTCTATTGTTAAGGGTGATATAATGGTGGCTTTTATTGGCTTCTATGGTAGGTACACAGCCAGTTTGTCTTTGACTCTATTTTCTTCCTGGTACTGGGAATCAAATCAGGACCTTGTGCTCGCCAGGCAGGGTCAGTGCAGCTGAGATTTGACTGATTTAATTGCTATTCACAGGGTGGCATAGTTGTTGATATTAATTGGTTTTTACTAAATGCCAATATCTGGTTTGTCTTGTGTCCTCTCAATATTGTGGTTCATCTTTGGAGAAAAGGGTGGGTTCTGGGCCAATAATACTACAACCTTTCCCATCAAATTAATGGAGGTAGTTGGATCTTGGGATAGAGATAAGGTATATAGTTAGTCATGCCATTCCATGCCCAGAGTACATCACTGGATCGAAACTCCCAGGACTCACTGCTGAATTCTACAAGAACATTATGGAAGATCTAACACCAATACTCTTCAAATTCTTTAGCTGTACTCCCAAACTCATTCCTGGAAGCTAGCATCAATCTCTTCAATGAATACAGATGCAAAATCCTCAACAAAATACAGGAAAACAGAATGCAACAAATCAACAAAAAGGTCAGACATCATGACCAACTAGGTTTCATGCCAGGGATGCAAGGATGGCTCAACACACAAAACTCATTATATGAAATATATCACACAAATAGAAGCAAGGACAAAAATCTTATGATCATTTCAATAGATGCAGAAAGTCTTTAACAAAATCCAACATCCATTCATGATAAAAAATGAAACTGAAAGGAAGTTGGTAACCTAGTTCAACATATTAAGTGGGGAAAAAATGGAAAAGGCAAAGATATCTACTATTACTACTACTGTTCAATACAGTACTCAAAACTTGTCATCTGTGAATAACTATAGTTTGACTTCTTTCTTTGCTAAACATTTATTTATCTTGAGAAGTATATAGGAAAAGAGGAAGTGAAATTATCCTTAGTCACAGATGACATGATCTTTTACATAGAAGATCCAAAAAATTCCACCAAAAGACTCCAAGAACTAATAAACAAATTCAGCCATGTAGCAGTATACAAAATCAATAGTGTTCCTATACACCAATAATAAACCCATTGACAAAAGAAAAAAAAAAGAAATAAAATGCCATGCACAATAGCTGCAAGAAAAATTAATACTTAGGACTTAACCTAACAAAGGAGGTAAAAGACCTCTTTAATGAAAACTACAGTACTCTGAAAAATATCAAAGAGGACTTTAGAAACTGGGAAGTTATCCCCTGTTCCTGGTTCTGCATCGATACTTTTTAAAGGGCCATTATTTCCAAAAGTGATACCCAGGTTTAATTCAAATTCGATCCAGATGCCAACAGCATTCTTCACAGAAATAGAGAAAACAATCTCAAAGTTCATATGGAACCAGAAGAGACTCAGAATAGCAAAGGCAATTCTGGGAAATAAGAGCAAAGCAGGAGGTATCACAACCTTGGATTTCAAGTTGTTTCAAAGCTATGGTGATAAAACAAAACAAAACAAAAAATCCAGCATGGCACTGGCACAAAAACATACAAGTGGGTTCTGGTGATTTGGTGCAGTGGTTTCGCTGCCTGCCTCACAAGCCCAAGGGCCTGAGTTCGATCCCTGGTACAAAAAACAAAAACAAAACAAAAAAACTATGATCAGTGGAACAGAACAGAGGCTACAGAAACCTCAGGCACATGCACCCATCTGATCTTTGTCAAAGAAACCAAAAACATACACTAGAGGAATGACAGCCTGTTCAAGAAATGGTACTGGGAAAATTGGCTATCACATGCAGAAGACTGAATTTATATCCATGTCTCTTCGCATGTACTAAATTAACACAAAAACGAACCAATAATCTAAATATTAAAACAGAGACTCTTTTTTTGTTTTTTGAGACAGGGTCTCACTATGTAGTTGAGACTGACTTGGTCTCGAACTCACAGTGATCCTCCTGCCTCAGCCTTCCGAATGCTGGGATTACAGGCTTGCACCACCACACCTGGCTTAAAACAGAAACTCTTAATCTGCTAGAAGAAAAAATAGATTAAATTCTTGAAGACATAAACACAGGCAGGGACCTTCTGAACAGAACCTAAATGCATAAAAATAACATGAAAAATCAACAAATGGGGGCCAGAAATTTAGCTTAGTGATACTGCACCTGCCTCATAGCTCACTGTCCTGAGTTTGATTCCCCAGTACCCCCACCCAAATCAACAATTGGGAGTGTATCAATTACAAAGCTTCTACACAGCAAAAGGAAAGACCAACAGTGTGAAGAAGCACCCTAGGGAATGGGAAAAAATTTTTGCCAGCTACTCCAGTCACTGGACAGAGGACTAACATCTAGAACATAAATAAAAAGAACTAAATAATAAAATAATAAAAAGAATTAAAAAAAAATTACACCCCTAAAATGAAAAACACCAATCAAAAAAACAAAAAACTAAAATTAATAGATCCTTGTCAGAAAAAATATAACATGCCAACAAATACATGAAAAAATGTTTAACATCATTGGCCATTAGATAAATGCAAATTAAATGAACAACGAAATTCCCTCTTAGTCTAGAAAGAACAGCTATCAACAAGAAAATCAAATAACAAATGCTGGCAAGGCTGGGGTGGGTGGAAGGAACCCTTCTACACTGTTGGTGGGAATGTAAAATAATACCACCACTATAGAAATTATTATGGCCATTCCTTAAAGAACTAAAAATAGAAATTCTATTTGACTCAGCTATTCCCCTTCTAGATATCTTCCCAAAAAGAGTTAAAGACATCACATTACAATGATACATGCATACCCACGTTTACAGCAGCACAATTCATAATAAATAGCTAAATCTGGGAATTGGCCTCTATGTCCATGAGCAGATGAATGAATAAAGAAAATGTGGTATTTATATATAATGAAATACATATGACACTGATATAAAGAAGGATAAACTTGAGTCATCTGTGGGAAAATGGATGCACATTGAGACCGGAATGTTTAAGTGAATTAAATCAGACACAAAGGTTTGAATATTGATTTTCTCCTATATGAGAAACCCAGAATATTGATAAAAAAGCAAAATAAAAGAGAGAATAGGAAATGGGAAGATAGATCTTTTGCAAAAGGGAAGGGGATCAACAGATGGGAAATTGAGGGTCTTGGGCCAGCGATGCAGCTCAGTGGAGCTGCACCTGCCTGGGAAGTGGAAGGTCCTAAATTCAATCCCTGATACAAAAAAAAAACCAAAAAACAAAACAAAAAAACCCAACCAATAACAACAACAACAACAAAAAATGTTTTATGTACACATACCAGCTCTCCATGATGAACTTAATAATTATGTACTACTACAAGTATATATTAATAAAATTTAAAAATAACATTGAGACAAAACTGGCTAGATCACACAATTTTTTTCTTTTGGTACCGGGGACTGAACTTGGGTCCTTGCGCTTGCAAGGCAAGCCACCAAACCACTGAGCTACATCACACAATTTTTAAAAAGAGTCTATATCTTAAAAATCTGACAGTCTCTTTCAACTTAGAACTTTTTCTCTTATATCTTTTGGATAACTTTTTTTTTAAGATAAAAAAAAATTTTTTTTTTTTTTTTGAGGCAGGGTCTCACTATGTAGTTGAGACTGACCTGGAACTCACTATGTAGCCCAGGCTGGTCTCAAACTCACAGTGATCCTCCTGCCTCAGCCTCCAGAGTGCTGGGATTACAGGCGTGCACCACCATGCCCAGCTCCTTTTTAGATAAATTTTAAACTTCTTAATACAGCCTTTAAATAGTTATTTAATGATCCGATTGCCATCTCTCTAGCTTGATGTTTTATTATCCAAAATGAACCATGACAGCTCCTGTGGATGCTTTCTAAAACAAATTTACAGATGTTTATATAATATTATAGAAATTCATGTGATATTTTATTTATGTAGCAAAATTAAGGGTTAGTATTTACTAAGCCTGCTGATATTCCAGGCCTTATACTAGGGTTTTTATGTAATATACATTATTTAATTTACTTTTCATAATAACCTGATAAAATAAGTTCAACTACTGCCCTTTTGCAGTAGAGGAAGACAAGATCATGAGAGTCAAGCAACTACAAAGCAAACTTAACAGCAGAGCTAGGATTAAACCTAAACCTGACATATATTCAATACACTGAAAGCACTCAGTGAATATTTATTAAATTAAATCATTCTCCATCATCATCCTAAGAATACCTGTAATACACAATGCCCAGGGTAAAAATAAACACAGAAGCATTTTAATGTCACAGATAAATGAATTTTTAATACTGTGTACCTACCTGCATGAGATTTTGAAGGTTCTCAACAAAACAAATCTCTGCTTCTACCATATAAAACTCTGCCAGGTGTCTCCGGCTCTGAGAATTCTCAGCTCGGAATGTTGGACCAAAGGTAAACACCTGAGTAAAAGCTCTGTAATTCAAGAGTAAGAGTATTAAAATAGGATTCACATGATTAATTTTAAGTATTTTTTTAAAAAACTTTGTGAGCTTTTCTTTTCTTTTTTATGGTACTTGGGGTGGAATCTAGGGCTTTGCACATGCAAAGCAAGCAAGCTACCACTTTTTCTATGTCCTGCTTTACAGTGAGCTCCTAAGTAAAAATGTTTTGTGATTCTGTCTTGTCCATAAACCCACACATATTAGCTGCTCTATTTCTCCAATGGGTGATAATAATAGTTTCATTAAAAAGGTTACATTTATAGAAACCATTTTATCCAAAGGAATTTGAAACTGCTTTATAAACCCTATAGTTTTCTAAATATAGCAATAACCACTTTTGGGTGCACTCTACTGCAGCTGCCGTAAGCAGCAGGCAACTACATTTCAGAGCAATCAAAAAGAAAGGAAAGGAAAAAAAATCACCACCCAAGTAATCACACAGAGAATCCACACAGTAACAGTGAAAACCAGAATTTCATGTGGATAAGGTGTAATCGTTTATTTAAAAAATATATAAAAAGAAATGTCACCTATGTAATTTATATTATTACAAGCCTACCCAAGGCCTTCACAACCACACGTCTTTCAGTTGACCTCTGAAATTCTGATGTGAGGCAGATTTTAAAGAACTGTCTATCCTCTGAATTTCATAAAGGACTACATCCCAAAATCCAAAAGGGCGGGGGGGGGCTGTTATTATTACAATCCTACAAAGAAGTAGACACTATGTCTTCATTCTTGAACAGTTATAGCCTCCTCATATTTAAGGGTAACAATTAAGATTAGATCAATCACACCTGAAGTGAGTATTTCAGCGGCCTCAATCTTAAGTTTTGTTTTTGCAACAAGAAAAACATTTGAGGATCCTTTAACCTTAAACACTCATTTGTCTGTCAGCCAAATTACTTTGGGACACCCAATCAACACAGTGCAGAAAAAAGAAATTTTTATATACCAGTTTTTTTTTTTTTTAAAAAGGTACTATGGAAAATAGAACAGTAAAATAATTATAGAAGAATCCAAGAGATTTTTTTCCCCCAAAAAAGGCCATTTCAATTGGTAAGAGGCTTAGGAATTTGTTTTGGGTCTACAGCTAACTTCCTAAGAAAATAATCAGTTAACCCCTGAGAACCTTGGTTTTTCATGGAAAAATAAACAGTACGAACTAAAAAATATTACTACAGTTACTTTTCTCCTGGGATTCATATCCAACTTTGCTTACTAGAATGTTCTTGAAAAGTATGAATCTAACCTGTGCAAAATAGAAAGTCTTGTCCAAATCCCTGAAACAAAAATCAAACAATACTGCTTTTCTTTTTTACATTTCCCCCAGTTTTATTAATTTCACTTAATCCACTCAGACCTAAGCCAACCATCACAAACTGCACTGCCCACATGTGCAATATCATATTAATCACAAAATTTAATTGTTTACATACTGGGCAACTCTCTGTGTAGTGACAATTCTCTTACCTTTCCCAGCTGTAAAATCCTTGTCTTTTGCTTGGAAAGTACAGTAACAGCTTTTTGTTTTGTTTTGTTTTTTGGAAACAGGGATCAAACTTGGGACCTTGCGCTTGCGAGACAGGCAGTGACACCACTGAGCTAAATCCCTGGACCAGTAATAGCTTTTTGACTAGGGTCTGCTATTTGTCTTTCTCTGGCCCCAAGGTACTATGAGTTTGCAAACTCAAATCTGATTATGTCAACTCTAATTTAAAAATCTACAATGAGGGGCTGGGGATTTAGTTCAGTGGTGCTGCTGCCTGCCTAACAAGCACAAGGTCCAGAGTTTGATACCCAATACCAAAAACAAAAACAAATGAACAAAAACTATAATAATCTTGAATGATTTGTCACTACCAAAAGGATAAAACTAAAACTTCTAATTTCAATTCAAGTTTTTCTCATGTAGCCTTTTTCTCCAGCTACTTTGAAGACACTGTCCTTACCTTGTATACCCCTGCTACTTTTGGTTTTTGTTTATTTGTTTGTTTGTTTTGAGAATGGGTCTCATTATGTAGTTGAGACTGCCCTGGAACTATGTAGCCCAGGTTGGCCTCGAACTCACAGTGACCCTCCTGCCTCAGCCTCCCGAGGGTTGGGATTACAGGCATGCACCACCATGCCCAGCCCACTGTTATTTTTGGTCTCTGCATAGGCTGTTCCTATCCTGTCCCCTGCTCCTCTCTAAACAGCAAATTCCCACCCAACCTTCAAAACTTGGTTCAAATGTCATTTCTTCTTTGACAACTTATATCTCCAAATTTATTGGCTCTTTCTGTGCATTACTGTAAAATTTTGTTTATGCATTTATTATATATGAACATATAACATATCACTTTGAAATGTGGTTGTGTTTTAAAATGTTTTCCGGCCCAATAATCTATAAAATTTTCCAGACCAGGAATCATGTTTTATTCATGTTTGCATTGCTAGTGCCTAGAAGAAACAGGTGCTCATGCTGAATGAGTACTAATGATGATGACAGGCTTCCTCAGCCGTCAACTGAAAAAGCACAACATCCTCACAAACAGCAACATTACAAATATAGAAAAATCCTCAGATACATCTTACTAAGGCAGTTACTCAGTACTGAAAATGTATAACTAAAATAGGTACCTAAAATGGGTGAAACAATTTAGTTCTATCCCAAACAGTAAATTCAAGAGTTATAAGGTGCTGAGTTTCCACTGTGACTATGCCATCTCTAGGCAGGGTGGCAACAGTATATCTAAATTTTAAAATAACTTTTCTCCAGCACTCAGGAGGCTGAAACAGGAGGACCACAGTGACTTTAAGGCCAGGCTGAGGTACACAGTGAGTTCAAGGCTAACCCAAACTACATAGTGCGATGCTGTCTCAAAACAAAACAAACCAAAAAACAAATAAAATCCTTTTCTTTCTAGTACTGCATCACAAGAAACTGTATATACAAATGTTAACTAACATTAAAGGATGTTTTTTTGAAATTTTCCGGGGCATAAACACATCTGTGGCATAGTTGAAATTTACTCAAGGAAGGGTAATGGGACTGCTATTCAAGAGACATGTTGCTTGTGTTAAGGCAGAAGGTACAAATAAAATAGGTACCTAAGGGCTGGAGATTTAGCTCAGTGGTTCTGCTGCTTGCCTTGCAAGCACAAGAACCCAAGTTCAATCTCTGGTACAAACAAACAAAAAAACCTGACAAAAATCAAACTATTGGGGCCAGGGATTTAGCTCAGTGGTTCGGTGGCCTGCCTTGCAAGCGCAAGGACCCGAGTTCAATCCCCGGTACCAAACAAACAAACAAACAAACAAAAAAAACCCAAATAAAATAGGTACCTAAAATGGTTTCTAACAAGACCTCCAAATTCAAATCACAAGGGTATCTGCTTCTCATATAGCAATTCTAGGTAAGATGCTCCAGAATGAGTTTTTAAATTGGCTAATAATTTCCTCTAGATATGCTGGGGCAAGTTCTCTAGCATAAAACATAGAAGAAAGGCAATGACTTTTAATTATATTAAACGTCAGTCTCTGACTGAGATACTCAGAGGAATGAGGTAACATTCTAACAAAGAACTGATGACCATGGTGCTTCTTCTAGATTAACAGAAAGAAAAGATAGAAGTTAGGTTAAAAACTACTTCATTTGACTTCCAGTCTTTAACCATTTACAGTTTACACCAAGCAACACTGGGCAGAGCATTTGTTTACGTACTGACTATTCTGAGTGTCACTCGGGCAGGGGTCATTTCAACCAGTCAATTCTTGTTTGCATGAGAGACACTCCTATGTCTGTTTATTTTACAGTGATTTTTTTTTTCATACTTCTTTTTGGTACTGGGGATGGAACTTGGGTCCTTGCTCTTGCCAGGCAGGTGGCGAAACCAATGAGCTAAATTCCTGGCCCCTCATACCTTTTACTTAGAATGTTGTATTCATCTTTTTTTTTCTGGTACCAAGGACTGAATTCTGCCAGGCAGACATGGCACCTTTGAGCTAAATCCCAAGGCCCTTGTATTCACCTTTGATATTTATTTCTAGTGAAATCTAATAATAAATTCTGGTTAATTTATTTTCTTTTTTTTTTTTTGGTACCGGGGATCACACTCAGGCCCTTGTGCTTGTGAGGCAGGCGCCAGAACTACTGAGCTAAATCCTCAGCCCTGGTTAATTTCTTTTATTAATTCATGTTTATTTTATTTGTGAAAAATAACCTATAATTTTGTGTTACAATGTATAAAAACTCTTACTGTAAATACACTAAATATAATTTTTGTATTTCTTCAGAACTCAATGATATTCTTTTACAACACAAATCAGACACATTTAGGACACTGAGACTGAAAAGAAAGGAAGTGACAAAAGATCCAAAAAAGAAAAAACTGAAAAAGGGAGAAATGTTAACATCACAGAGGAAAAGCCTGTGTTATAAAGTGGAAAGGCAAAAAAGATGTCTCTTTATTGTCAACTGTTCATAATATGGAAGAGACAGTGAAATGGAAACAACAAGAGACAGAGCAGAGAATGACAGTCTCAAAGCTTATGACAGTCTGGGCCTTGCCCCTCCTGCTAAGCCCATGAAGGTCACGGTGTCTGGAAGATGAACTGCTGAAACACAGCTGCCTGCCGCTCTATGTTTTAAAGATAAACTGTAAAAACATTTACCTCCAGCTCCCTACCCTTTGATAAGTTATGCTTCTGTGAAATTCTGCTTGCTCCTCCACCCTGGCTAAAGAACAGATAAATATGAGAACAAATGGAGAAATGGGGCTCATACTCTGGAAGGTTACCTCCACTGCGTCTGCTAGCTAGTGAATAAACCTGCCTTTCCCTTCAATTCTCTGAGTGCCATTGTCTTCCTTGGTCGGCCTGCCCTCCAAGTGCCACTTCAACAAAACTTGAAAAAAGAAACAAAACTAAAAAAGTCCCAACAGTGGTCAATGATTATAATAATTCTATGGGTCGTGTTCACACAGTTGA